GACGATCCTGAAGCCAGGATGGGCGGGACGTCCGACGTGACGGCACGGTTCAGAGTTGAGCCGTCAAGTTCTGGGGTGAGGGACCAGGTGTCCCGCATCTCGGCTGCAAGTTTGGACCGCTACCTAAGGAGGGCGTCCAAATTTGTAAGTGACCCAGGGTCCGTTCTGCAGAGGACCATCGACTACGCCGCCGAGGTAAGACTGGTGTCTCCATTTTTGATCAATTTACCTAACAGGTAGCTCGGTCTAATTTTCTTCTTGGTGTTTTTCCTCAGGCGTTTGTTGCTTCCATTCAATCGGCTCTGGCTGTAAAGGCTGAGCTGGATGGGAGGGAAGTTCTGGCAGCGAGGGAGAAAGAGGAGTTCTCTGCTGCCTTGGAGGCTGCTTCCTCCACCATGAAGGATGAGCTGCATGAAGGATGAGCTGCTGAAGGCTCACTCTGAGGTGGAAATTTTGAAGGCCGAGGTGGAGACCAAGGCCGAGCTGCTGAAGAAAGAAGATGACAGACGCAAGGCCCAGCTCCGAGCTGCCCATGCTATCACCAAGGGCTTGGAGAAGGAGAAGTTCCAACTCCTCAAGGAGAAGGACGACATGCTCCAGGCGCTTGAAGCGAAGGAGGAGAAGCTGAAGAGGATCTGGACTTGGCTACTCCGACCTCGAAGAGGATCAGGTCGGCAACACTCAAGAGGGCGCTCCTCAAGCAGGCTCTTAGGCGACCACCCTTCAAGAGGTTTTTCGTTGTCTTTCTTCTCTTCTCTTTTTTTTGTTTGTAAGTGTCAGGGCAGAGCTGCAAGATCTATAAGCCTTGGCTCTGCTCTCCATTCAATAAAGAAGCTCCCATTTGTTTTTACTTTGTTGCCTTCATTTCTTTGCTTTTTCTTTAAGCTAAAGCCAATGTCACCTCGCACCTCATACTTTTGAGGTCGCGCCTTCAAAAATACTTGAAAATTTTGAATTCGAATCTCTGTCTAGTATTCAATACATTGTACCAACTCTGGATTTTTTACCATTGCACCCTCAACTTAAAAAACGTTAAAAGACTAAAATCCTAAGTCCGTAGCTGTTCTTCATATCGCACCTCGTACCCTCAAGTTCAAAGGCTTGATCATTTTGAACTTTTCACATTGTCCCTTCACCTTGAAGGTTTGAATTTTAAGTTCATCAGTGGTTTTGGCATCGCACCTCGTACCCTTAGGTTTTGGAGGATTGAACTTTAACCGA